TACTTGTTTTTGGTAGGGATGTCTGGATTGATGTGCTCCAAACATTTCTGCATATTTGCGACAGGAAGTGAATCTGATAAGGATGTGGAGATCTTTTTTCTTAAGTTGTTCTTTGTTGGCTTTTCTCTTAGCAACCATTTATGTAGATGCCTTACCTGGTTGCGCAGTCCTGGTTGCTTGTTGCGGCTTTGTTTGCGGCGAATTCTGATGGTGCGTTTTCTTCTTCGGACGTGGGGTTTTGATTCTCACTTAGAGTTTTTGTTTGATTTTTATTACGAACACACTTGCTCACTGATCGCTAAGATTTTGAATACAAAAATTTACTTCCTCGGAGATTGATCGGGAACTAAACTGTTGATTTCATTTGTAGCGTCCTTCCAGGGATCTCGCAGGTTCTAGAAAGTCGAAGGGTCCTGTATATATTTTATAATCGACCTTCAATGTGAATTTTAATACTGTTTAATACTGTCGATTTTCTTTACACGTAGAATGATTTTTATTTTATTTATAAATAACTGTAAATTTTTAGAAGTCATTTTTATTATAAAACTCATTTTATTTGCTTCAGATAAAACATTTTTCGCATATAATAATCTTTTAGCTAATCTTTTATTCGGAAATATAAACTTACGAGAAATATTTACTTATAATCTTAAGAAAGTATTGAACGACATTTAAAAGATTTATTTTGTTCAGAAACTCTTCTTTTCGTTTCCCTATTTTTCTATATTTATGTCCGAGCGTAAATGATTTAAATATTAAGTGAAATACTATTTTTAAATATATTAAATGAAATAATGTTTCCAAATAGTATTTGCTTATGGAAATATTTCAATTTTCAGTACTTTGTCTCATACCAAAATTTTTGCCAAACCTGCTAAGAAGTTAATAGCTTGTTTATCAATTTTTATATTTTCACTTGGAATTAAATCGTTGAAATTATTTGTATTTAAATTACTTAAAGTAGATGTTTTTTTAATTTACTTTCGAATTTTCTCTCTTCTCTTAATGTGCGATTAAAGTATGGAACCTCTGCATTAAATTATTGAAGATTATCGTTTTGATAATATCAATCTTAATTTCCTTGATCGCCGATTAGTTAATCATTGTATATTTTGTGCTACATAGCTCAAAATGAAATGCATCAAATTTCATTTGATTTTTGTTTACGTTGTACCGACTCACCACTTTTTATACAGTGGGCTATTACCGCGCATTGCGTATAAACGGTTTACGAAATTCTACATTCGATTTAAGATATAATTATTATATACGTGCAAGAAAATTGAATTATTGTTGAACTATTATTATTGAACTATTAAATTATTTTTCTTTTATAAAAATCTGAAACTTGTTTATAAAAACATGAATAAAACAACTAATTTAATGTATTTCTGTTACATACATAATGGAACAGTTGATTAAAATAAAGAAGCACACAATTTTTTTTGTACCATCTTAATAAAGGTATACGAAAATATTAAATGAAAATGAAATGAATTTTATTATTAATAGTAATTTGTACTGCTAAAGGTAATAAATAATAGCTATAAAATAGTGGCTGGTTATCAAAAATTATTATTCAATATAATGAAAAGAAAAAAAACAGCAACATGCAACAATAAAATGCAAAAGATGAGTAATTTTGTATGTATAAAAGTAAATATTAAAATTAATAATAATAATATTAAATATACTTTATAAAAAGCAAAACAATAATAATTATACTTAAGGGGTAAAGTATTATATGTTCAATAAAGAGGAAACAAGTGTCATCTTTATCGTTATCAAAATAAAAAATATTTCATTAATTGTTTGAAAGAAACATGTTTTAAATTGCAAAGAAAAATTGTATGGTACAACAATTCACATCATAAAATTATCGTAAAATAATATTTCTACATTTAAAAAAATTTTTTGATTGGAGAATACACTCTGATGGCCTCAGTGTTTTTAAAAACATATTGTTGGACAGATACTTTTAGGTAGTCAATGACTCAAGTACTTACTGCATTTTTAATAAAATTTAATTTCACATAAACTAATTTAAAAAATTATAAAATATGTCCAAAGAAAACGGTAAATATAATTTCAGAAAACAAAAAAATTGTTTATTAATTTAATTAAAAAATACATATCTTCCGTCTATATATATCTTATAATTATTATAAATCTTTATATTCATATTACAATAATCAATATATATAATATATTATATATAATTAGTATGAACGTGAGTACTTAGCTAACTATACCTATTTTGACTGAAATAATATTTATTACTTTAATAAAATATATATATATATATTTTTTAAATAAAGTAATAAATATTATATATATATATTTTTTAATAAAGTAATAAATATTATTACAGTCAATATTAAGTTATAGTCAGCTAAGTACTCACGTTCATACTAATTAAGAATCAATTGAATTTTTTTCTGATAAGCAGAACAATTCAAATCACAGTAATCATTAACGTACTTTCTTTTTCATACCAGAAATTGACATATTCCACTGTAGTTAATTTCAATTATTTTTCAACAAAAGATTTATTATCATTTGTTCAAGGATTCATAAATATATAAGAAAAAGACTTATATATTAATATCATTTACTGAATTTTTGTAAAAAATTTATAAAATGTAAAAAAAAAAAAAATACTCATTACGCTAGAATAGAAATCTAAGTCTACATGTCTGTTTCCAATATCATTTTGTAATCATATAAGTTACATCATTATTAATATATTATTTTCTTATATAAGAAAATAATAGAAATATATACAGTTAGTCAATATTTGAACATTATATAAACTAATTTAAACTTACAAATAAAAACTAGTTTGCAAATATAATACACTAAATGTTAATATTTTATAAAAATTTCTTTGAAAATTCACGGTAGTTGAGCTTGGTTACATGGTTGCTTCCTAAGTATTGTATTTATTGACTACTATTTCATGGACTATACTTTTGTGCATTAATTGTTACATACTGATTGATGCATACTATTGTACTAACTCTCTTTGCGTTTTTGTTTTTTTTTTCCTTAACCTGTACTGTCTTCTTGCAGTGCCTGAATAGTGTTATCTTATTACCCGCATTTAACACAAGAGATTTTATTTATTATTTTTTACCTGTATCATTTTGGTTGTTTAGTTTAATTTATGTTTAAGGTAGCAGGAAAATTTTCAAAAAATGCTTTTCTTGTTGAGTTCATCTTGTGTGCAGTATATTAGTCTAGTTGCGTAAGCAAGTGTAAGTTGTGCATGCTTTGATACTTTCCGGTGTTTCTAATTATTGGGTTATGGTGTTTAGTGTTGTAAGCTGCTTCCATTGAGTTCCTAATATATTCCTGGATGGTCTGTATTGTTAGCTGCGTGATGTAGTTCTCTGATTGGCGTGTCGTGTGTTTTATTCAAGATAATACGGAGAAATTTGTTTCGTATTTTTTGTATCTTATTAATGCGAGTTTTAGCTGCTGCCGCCCAAATTTGGTATCTATATATAATGATTAGCCTGACGTATATTTTGTATAAGTTGAGTTTGATGGCGATTTTTGATCCTGTTTCTGGACAGGAGAGGGTAGAGTTTCTTTGGGGCGGGATAGGCTAGTTTTTTTTTGCTATTGCCAGGGCCTAGGTTATTTTCGAATCTAGGGTGACTCCGAGATATTTAACTGTAGGAGTTCATAGGATATAATATTCTGATAGAATAATTTGAATCCTTTTTTAATCTTTATATTGACAGCACTTTTTGTTAGTTCTTTATTTTATCTAATTATTCTTTATTTTATTTATTCTTTGTTTTATCTAAAATATCAACAGTAAATACAAATTCAACAATTCTGTAAGATGAAATCCTTTACTTTTTTCAAATTCTCATTTTTCTATCGCTATTACAGATATTAAAGTGTTGCTCTCATCAGCAAGAATAACATTATTGAATCATTCATTTTCTTTAGTTATAGCATGATCTTTTGCGTATGTAAGTTCTTTCTTTCTATTTATAGTATTGTTACGTCTTGTGGAGGTCCGTTTCGACATCATCGGAAAATCAAGTAATATCTTTCGTATAAATAAAATTTATTTGTACAAAAGTACTTTATTTACATCTGGACTATACCTTTCGAACGTCTACACAGTTCGGTGGTCAGAGAGCGA